AAAATTTAACAAATTCCAGTATATATACCGCCATTTGTAAACGCTATAACTTTCACGTAAACCAATTCATTTACACGTATTGGGATTTTTTTTAGCAAATACATGCAGCAGAATACAAATTTATGACAAAATTTGATTTTCTAATTTTTGTACCGAACGTGTTTAATAGCAAAAGGTCAAAAATATTGAAATATTGTTTTTTTTTCTCAAAATTGTCGGTCTTCTTTTTTATATAACGCATAAAATAAAAAACCACACAGACTATCAAATACCACTGAAAGAAAGCTCAATTCATGGAAAAAAAGGACGTAAGGGTGCAGAGTTGCATGACTGCACAATTGTCAGTTAAAGTAATGCAGCGCCGTAATGCAAAAAATGGCCAGGTCAGGAAGGGGGGAGGGGAATACTCAGGAGGGCAAGTGGAAACCACAATAGACATAAAAACATTGTTTGCAAACAACTTCATTTTTCTTTGTAACTTGTGTTTGGTTCCATCATGGTGCCACCCCCAATATGGTTGGCTCATAGAGCATGATGGGGCCCTACCAAATAACCTTCAGCTTGCTTATAAGATCAAGGGCATTGGTCACACTATCCTCCATATACAGCCCAGCATTGCACTAGACGAGTTTCTGGGATTGCAAGGCACTCATTTTTAAATGGCAGTCCACAGTCCTGATCCTGCATCTGCCTTTCACCAAATATACAAACTAATAACCACTTCAGCTCCGGGAGGCTTTACCCCCTTCATGACCAGGCCAGTACTCTGCTCCTTTAAACGGTGGGCAGCACAGTTGCTAAATGGTTAGCACTTCTGCCTGGCAATACTAAGGTCATTGTTGGTTCAAATCCCAACCATGGCACCACCTGCCTGGAGTTTGCATGTTCTCCCTGTGCCTGCGTGGGCTTCTTCCAGGTACTCTAGTTTCCTCCCACAATCCAAAGACATGCTGGTAGGTTAATTGGATCCTGTCTAACATGGCCCTAGTATGTGTATGAATGTAAGTTAGGGACTTTAGATTGTACATTGCTTGAGGGTTAGGGACTGATGTGAATGTACAATATATATGTAAAGTGCTGCGTAAATTGACAGAGCTATATAAGTACCTGTAATAAATAATAATTGTGCAGTCTAGCAATGCTGTATATAATTTGTTTGTTTTCACACAAATAGAACTTTCTTTTGGTGGTATTTGATCACCGCTGGTTTTTTTTTATTATTTAAACAATAAAAGACTGAAATGGTGGGAAAAAAACACCATTTTCTATTATAAAACATCTCTGATAAAAAATCAAATTTCTTTATAAAATTTATCCCAAAATGTTTTCTGCTACATGTGTTTGTTAATCAAACGTCAGATGTTACCAAGCCCAGCAAAAGTGCCGCAGTGGCCATCTTACGTCAGGTTTATAGGCTTTTTTACCAAATATGTCAGCACAATGGAATATGAGTAAATGTATATTTTAGTGAGGAACTACTGCACTATGGCTCTGGTTTGATGTTTTCCATAGGGATTCCTGCCTGAGGAATGGATGAGCTTAAGTGGATCTTTTAATGTGAAGAGATTTAATGAGAAGCACTTACAGTCATATGTTTTGAGCATTTTGTGCATATACATACATTGGAAATGAAAAGGAAATTAAAGTTGAGAGGAATCATTGAATGCAGTCATGTGATTGGAGGATTTGGTAAGGTGCATGCAGTGCTTGGACTTAATACACGTCACGTGGAAGAATGATATGAGGGTCTTAAAGAGACAGGCATGTTGAAAGCTCACTTGATGTAAGTAGTAGAAGGTTTTATGGTGTGGTGGCTGCATTCGTTTTCTTTTTAAGGCTTCCTTTTTTTATTTTCACCTGGTGATCTGGCCAGTAAGTCTGTTGTTTTTCAAAAGAACAAGCTGTCCTACAGTAGTTACAAGGGTAATAGAAACCATTTACCACTGACAAGGGTGTTAACAATGATCACTGAAATGATGCATGAAACACAGGGGCTCCATAGTGTAAAATCATTAAAAAATGCTGTTTATTATATGCAGTATAAGAAAGGTATTCATATATTGCAAAAAAAGAGAAGCCTGGAAATAAAAACTTTGCTCAGCTGAGCGGGCAAGATGACATCAGCACTATCCTGCGCCCAATGCAATTCATCAAAGAAGTGCTTGTCTTTTATGCCTTGTACGGTGTGAATGCCATGATTGAACACCGGAAAAGTCTGCACTTTCATGGTCACAATATCATGATAGACCATGATATGATTTTTATTCACATTTATTCAAAACAATTTGCATGGATTGGATTATACTGTATAAAGGAACAGTGCAACATACCTGGGTGTTCATATTGTATGTATTTATTCTAATACAGGAGGTCATGATGACGTCACCACTAGGCTCCACCCGATGCATTTCATCATACAACTGTTTGTCTTTTATGCCTTGTATGGTGTAAAATGCCTTCAGTGAAGCCATTGTGCAGGGGTGACCTCTGTGGACCATCCTAAAGTTCCTCTGGCTACCTTTAAAGCACAATTAGACCTCTTATATTGTGGTGTCTATCCTTCTGGTAAGCAGATGACATGTTATTTGTGGTGGAGAAGCAAAAAAGTGATTGAACACAGGAAAAGTCTGCACTTTCACAGTCACAATATCATGATAGATCATGATATGACTTATTATTCACATTAATTCATAAAAATGTGCATGGATTGGAATATACTGTATAAAGACATGTGGTGTAAATGCCTTCAATGAAGCCATTGTGCAGGAGTGACCTCTGTGGACCATCCTAAAATTCCTCTGGATACCTTTAAACCACAATTAGACCTCTTATATTGTGGGGTCTATTTATCTGGTAAGCATTTAGCATGTTATTTGTGGTGGAGGATCACAGAAGTGAATGAGCACTGGAAAAGTTTCCACTTTCATGGTCACCATATCATGATAAATCATTAAATGTTTTATTATTCAAATGTATTCATTACAATTTGCATAGATTGGAATATACTGTATAAAGGCACAGTGTAACACACCCGGGTGTTCCTATTGTATGTATTTATTCTAATACAGGAGGTGTGTTACTGACCAGATTACTAGGTGAAAACAATCCCAACCATGTCACCACCTGCCTGGAGTTTGCATGTTCTCCCTGTGCCTGTGTGGATTTCCTTGGGCAGCACAGTGGCTAAATGGTTAGCACTTCCGCCTGGCAGTACTAGGGTCATTGGTTCAAATCCCAGCCACATCAGCTCCTGCCTGGAGTTTGCATGTTCTCCCTGTGCCTGTGTGGGGTTACTCTGGTTTCCTCCCACACTCTAAAGACATGCTGGTAGGTGAATTGGATCCTGTCTAAATTGTCCCTAGTATATGAATGTAAGCTAGGGACCTTAGATTGTACACCCCCTTGAGGGTTAGGAACTGATGTGAATGTATATTATGTATGTAAAGCGCTGTGTAAAAATTGATGGTGCAATATATAGTACCTGAAATAAATAAATGTAAGTTAGGAACCTTAGACTGTACACCCCTTGAGGGTCAGGGACTGATGTAAATGTACAATATATATGTAAAGTGCTGCGTAAATTGACGGCGCTATATAAGTACCTGAAATAGATAAATAAGGGGTGGAGAGTCTTAAAGAGACTAGTGATGTAATGGAGCCACCACATCTAAGCTGCAATATATTACATTTTTGGTTTTGGGTTTACTACCTCTTTAAACACCCTCTGTTCAGTTCATTCGGCATCCAGTCCCAGCCGTCCTCTTTGAATTTTTTTTTAACTATCTCAGACAAGTGTCTGACTTCGCCAAGCTCTCAAAAACTAGCACTGAAGCCACGGAACTACTAAACATGCCAGAGCAACCTCTGTAAGCTGATCTGTGCAATTACAGAGTGGAACTTAGAAGAAAAAGGCCATTGAAGTGTGATTTGCACAAGCCTGGGGTTGAATAATGCTGCTCATCAGTTATATTTGGAGCTGTCACTTCTTAGAGCACTGTCATCCTACATTAATTTTACTGAAGTTGTTTTGCCTCCCATGTGCCCCGGGCGCTGATGTTGTAATGTTAATGGAAAGCAAGAAATAAAAGAAATGGCTAATTATATCATATAAATATTGAAAATGCTGTAATGGCTCAATGGGGATATCACACTAATAAATCCTCATAAGTTGTTTAAAGCTGTGACATTGATTGCAATCAAGACAGTGCATGGTACAGTACATTACAGTATGCACAAGGGTCTTCCGGTGCCACTATATCACACATCACATCACTTAGATTCCACCATTGTAGAGTCATACGAGACATGCATGAATTATTTTTACATGAGTTGTTTTTTGAAAGCATAACGCCAGCCCAAACTAACATGATAATGATGGATAGTCCATTAACAACAAAATAGCAAAACCAACTTATGGTGCAGTATTCACCATCAGTCCCACGATTTCCCCCGCAGTGCTTTTTTCTGAGGCTAGATGTCCTCAGTCTGATGGCCTGTGGATTGTGGCGTCTCTTTAATTTTTTTTAAAGGATCAGTGCATCCTAACAATACATTTCTCTTACTTGGTACCTTTTAGTCTGTTAAAGCAGAACTATGGTCAGCTAATAAAAGATAAAATAAAAAAGCCAGATTTTGCTGCAATATTCTACTTCAATCCAGAAATTTACCCCAAATGGATGGCATTATTTAACCCACTTCCTTTGAGCCCAGATCATCCTGGACCTGCCCCATCCTGTGACTGGACATGTGAAAGGAGAAGCAGCACAGTAATTAATTAATCTGTCTGTCACTTTGCTTTGTTCTTTGTGCTTCTTGTCAGCACATGAAATGTTTGGCACCTTGTGCGGCTTCTTTCTTTCCCAGTATGAACTTTTCTGTTTAGGGACTGTAAGTGGCTAACAACTGGTCAAATTCACTTATACCACTTGAGCTTAACCACTTCTTGTCCGGCCCATGTACATAAACGGTGGACGGGAGCAGTGCCCAAGGGGGTCACCGTTTATAAACGGCCTCCGCACTCCCTGCCTCTGCATGCTCCCTGGGAGCACACAACAGAACACCAATCGCTGGGCGGGACCTCTGTGTGAGGTCCCGATCATATGATCACTGATTGGCCAATCAGTGATCACATGAATAGTAGTAAACAAGATGTCACTTCCTGACATCATTGCTTACTACTTGTGAAATCTGTGAATGATCACAGAGGTCACATGGTACAAGTTCACAACAGCCTTGTACCATGTGACAAGCTGTGACCAATCACAGCTGCAACAGTATTTCTCAATGGCTGCAGGAATGCATCCAGAGAGAAGGAGAAATGATTGCTTTTACAGCCTTTATAGGTGTAAAAGCAATCAGTGTACAAAAAAGAAAAAAAAATCTTCATCAACCCCTACAAGTAGTACAGTGTCACTATGGTGACACTGTACTGCTAGGGTGACAGTATGTTAAAACAAATAGAAATAAATAAATAATTAAAAATGTAAACAAAATTTAGAAAAATTATAATTTTTGGTTATAAACTAATTTGGATTTTTTTTTTTTTTTTACTAAAAAGATAGATGAATACATTTTGGCCAAGATTTATGAAGAAATATTATTTATTAGCAAAATTGTATAAGTAAAAAAAATCTGGACAAGAAGGGGGTGAAAGTGTCCAGACTTGAAGTGGTTAAGATAGATGTATTCATGAATTAATGAACACAAAGTTGTAATCATTTATATTTTTAAATTCTGCCTTGAGTTCAGCTTTAACCACTTTGATTGCACACTATAGTCAAATGGCGGCTACAACATGATTGTCTAGTTCTGGGAGGGCATCCATAGATGTCCTCACAGAACCCCACTCCCTGCACGCCCCCCAGAGCGCGCATCGGGCGCACTCTGTGACCACTGTGCCTTTTGGACACTGCTGATTACAGATCGGGCAAAGGGCCACTCACAGTGGCTCGTTACCATGTGATCAACTGTGTCCAATCACAGCTGATCACATGTAAACAGACTGGTCAGTTATCGGCAGACCTTTCTTCATACACTGCATCTGTGTGAGGAAAGGAGAGCCGATGGGTTACATGGTTTAAAACTGATAATCAGTGCAGCCCCATCAGTGCCAATCAGTGTCCATCAGTGCAGCCTATCAGTGCCCATCAGTTCAGTCTCATCAGTGATCATCAATGAATATCAGTGCAACCTCATCAGCACACATCAGTGAAGAAAAAAAATTGCTTATTTGCAAAATTTTATAACACAAACTAAGAAAAATTTGTTTTTTTTTTTCCAAAATGTTTAGTCTTTTTTTGTCTGTTTAGCAGTGGTGATTAAATACCACCAAAAGAAAGCTCTATCTGTCTGAAAAAAAATGATTAAAATTTAATTTGGGTACAGTGTTGCATGAATGAGTAATTGGCACTCAAAATAAGACAGCACTGAAAATTGGCCTGAACAGGAGGGGGTGAAAGTCGCCAGTATTGAAGTCGTTAAAGGAGACCCCCAGCAAGAAAGCCAGAATAGCCAGAAATCTTTTATTTTATTGTGTTTTGTACGCTTGGTTTTCTTTTTTATGTCATGAGGAAGTACAAATATGCAAGGTTAAAGTGACCCTGTCAATAAATCTAAAAAGTTCAAGCAGTCATAAGGAGCTTTTAAAAGAAGACTGAATACTTACTTTTCCCACAGGCCACACTACCAGAGTGCCACTCCATTTTCATGTAAATTTTGCAGGGAAGCCGACATTTTGGGAGTGTCGATCCCCATGTTCCCCACAGCTCTCACTGGCTCCTCCTCACTACTGTGTCCTGCAATGAATGGAGGTTAACAGTGAAAGCTGCAGTGAATTCAGGAGATCAATACCCCAGGAAGTGTCAGTTTCCTTGCAGACTTCACATGAAGATTTCTCATGAACAGGGTGTTGTTCTGGCAAGATAAGTACAGGAGTTGGACAACAATATGGGAACACTACATGGTTTGCAGGTGTGAAAGTAATGACATGTTTCGCGTTGAAAGCAGAAGTCAGGTAACATTTTTATGCCTCCGCTGTGTGATGGGACACCTAGCTAACAGGTGGGAAGAGGGCAAATTCTTGGTGCCCGCTTAGCTGGTGCTTCTGTGACTGAAGTTGTAAATTTATTTGCCGTGTCACGAGGTACAGTATTAAAGATTACGACGGCATATACAGTTTCTGCGAATATGTCATCTGATAATCGCAGTCGACATGGTCAACTGACCAAAAGAAACAAAAGGACATTGTGCAGGATTGTGACCCGGAATAAGAAAACAACTGCTGAAAAAGTGACTGCAGAGCTCAATCTCAGTCTTCCAAAGTGGGAACTCCATAAGCAAAACATATTCAGGCAAACTGCAATTGCCAAACCACTAGTGACTGATATTAATGCTCAGAAGAGGAGAGAATGGTGCAACACCCATAAATCATGTACTATCGATCAATGGAAAACTAATATGGTCCAATGAATCCAGCTTCACACTGTTCCCAACCACCAGACGTGTTTACGTGTGCTGAACACAGTCCCAAAGTTACGACCAGAACTGCCTTGTGCCAACAGTAAAGCGTGATGGTGCAACCATAGTTTGGGCAGCTATATCTTGGTATTCTGCAGGCCCCATCATCACCTTGAAAGGTAGCCAGCGACTATGTACATATTTTGCCCGACCATGTGCACCCCATGACAATGCCATTTACCAAGACAGTAATGTTCTGATTCACACATCTGGTGTTGTCAAATTGTGGTTTGGCGAGCATGCAGACAAAGTATTGCACCTTCTCTGGGTGCCACATTTGTTGTACCACAGTATCATAGACAGGGGCAGACTGACAACTCATGGGGCCCCCGGGCAATAGGGGATCATGGGGCCCCTGTGTCCTTGCCCAAACTCAAAAAAAAATATGAAAAAGGTACCAGGGGCATATCATGGGGCCCCCTACTGACCCCAGGCCCTCGGGCAGTTTCCAAATGGTCAGTCCGCCCCTGATCATAGAGCAACTGTAATCAATTTTGAAGAACAAGGTTCGGGTTTAAATCTCTGCAAGAACTGGAACAATTTTTGCATGAAGAGTGGTATCAGATTCCATTATCCACCATCCAAGAATTATATATGTCAATTCCCAGGAAAATCCACGCCATCTTGGATGCCAAAAGTGGTCCAGCACCCTATTAGGTAACAATTTAATTCTTTTACCTGTTTTTTTAATAATTTTGTCTAACCCCTGTATTTACAGCCTTCTTTTCTAGGTGTTGTTGTTTGGACTTTTTTTATTTAACCACTTGTCGTCTGGCCACAGTACATTTACATGTACGTCATCCAGCCTCTTCGGGGTTATGAGCATTCAGTGTGTCGCTCCCACAACTGCTGTGTTCACCGGACACATCGAATTGCGGCTCCCGATACCTGTTTTGTTCATTTGTATCGTAAAAAATAAAAACCCAACAGTGACCAAATATCGTCAAAATAAACCTCTATTTATGTGAAAAAAATTATATAAATCTCATTTGCACGCAGTATTGCCTGACCGCGCAATTGTCAGTTAAGGTAACACAGTGCCGAATAGCAAAAGAATGCGCTGGTCATGAAGGGGGTAAACTTTTTGGAGGTCAAGTGGTTAATGACAGGGTCACTTTACAGTTAACCAATAGGGCATTTGCAGCACATTTACTTTTGACTTATAATTTCAATAGTTACCTGAAAGTAATGTTTAATGTCACATTCTGGCCTGCTTGCTGTTATGGATTTTACTTTTTGTATTTATTACAGATTTGTTAATACTCCTTATATTCCTGGTGTACAACCTACGGCCTAGGGGGCCGCATGCGGCCCTTTGGTATATTATGTGCGCCCCTTGGACCTTGGCAATTTGTAGTAGGAATATTGATTCGGGGATTAGCATTGATCCATGCTAGCCCCATGTAACATGTTCCCAGTTTCATATCTTCTGCAGCATATCCCCAGCCAAAAATGTATCATGTCTATACCCTCCTTTCCTTTATTAGGTCTGCAGCTTCTGACAGTCTTCTCATAGTTACATTTATTGAACAGAATGTGTGGCCCTTTGGTGATGCTAGGGGCCGCATTTGAGACTCTCTTTAGCTAATAAGTTGGCAACCACTGTCCTATAGGGTTCACAACAGAGAATTCTACAAACGTTTTTGCATTCTGAAGAAACAGATGTTTGTCTTAGTATGTCTTATCGCAAATCACTGGGAAAGTTAGAGGGTCTTTCTTGATCATTTTATTGATCAGTTGAACAACTGTGGTTGAGCTGTATAGAAATGCTTTGATTTGCTTAAGATTGATTTTGAGAAAGTCTGATCGATCTAATCATAACTAAGCCAACTGAACACAGCTGAATATTTTACTATTTGTATCTCCTATATGGATCATGTAACAATGCAGCATACATTTGTGCTCAAACGTTTACATACCCTGGCAGAAATCGTGAAATGTTGGCCTTGATATTGAAAATATGACTGATCATGCCAAAAAATGGCATCTTAGTTAAGGATAGTGATCATATGTAGCCATTTATTATCACATAGTTGTTTAGATCCTTTTTAAATCATAATGATAACAGAAATCATCCAAATGCCCCTGATCAAAAGATTACATACCCTGGAATGTTTGGCCTTGGTACAGACAGACAAGATGACACACACATGCTATTAAAATGGGCAATTAAAGGTTAATTTCCCACATCTGTGGTTCTTTAAATTGCCATCAGTGTCTGTTTCTGTTTCAGTGTCTGCTCTTATGTGGATGAATTGAGCAGGCTAGGTACTGAGCAATGGGGAGCAGAAAAGAACTGTCAAAAGACCTGCATAACATGGTAATAGAACTTTATAAAGATGGAAAAGGATATAAAAAGATATCCAAAGACTTGAATATGCCAGTTAGTACTGTTCAATCATTTATTAAGAAGTGGAAAATTCGGGGATCTCTTGATACCAAGCCAAGGTCAGGTAGAGCAAGAAAGATTGCAGCCACTACTGCCAGAAGAATTGTTCTGGATACAAAGAAAAACCCACAGGTAACCTCAGGAGAAATACACGCTTCTCTGGAAAAAGACAATGTATTTGTTTCAAGGAGCACAATACGAAGATAATTGAACAAAAATTAGCTGCATGGTCGAGTTGCCAGAAAGAAGCCTTTACTGCACCAACATCACAAAAAAAAAGCCTGGTTACAATATGCCCGACAACACCTTGACATGCCTCACCAGGCTTTTTTGTGGCATTGGCGCAGTAAAGGCTTCTTTCTGGCAACACATGCTGCTGATCTGCATGGGTCAATATTGAAATTATAAGTCAAAAGTAAATGTGCTGCAAATGCCCTATTGGTTAACTGTAAAGTGACCCTGTCATTAACCACTTGACCTCCAAAAAGTTTACCCCCTTCATGACCAGCGCATTCTTTTGCTATTCGGCACTGTGTTACCTTAACTGACAATTGCGCGGTCAGGCAATACTGCGTGCAAATGAGATTTATATAATTTTTTTCACATAAATAGAGGTTTATTTTGACGATATTTGGTCACTGTTGGGTTTTTCTTTTTTATGATACAAATGAACAAAACAGGTATCGGGAGCCGCAATTCGATGTGTCCGGTGAACACAGCAGTTGTGGGAGTGACACACTGAATGCTCATAACCCCGAAGAGGCTGGATGACGTACATGTAAATGTACTGTGGCCAGACGACAAGTGGTTAAATATAAAAAGGCCAAACAGCAACACCTAGAAAAGAAGGCTGTAAATACAGGGGTTAGACAAAATTATTAAAAAAAACAGGTAAAATAATTAAATTGTTACCTAATAGGGTGCTGCACCACCTTTGGCATCCAAGATGGCCTGGATTTTCCTGGGAATTGACATATATAATTCTTGGATGGTGGATAATGGAATCTGATACCACTCTTCATGCAAAAATTGTTCCAGTTCTTGCAGAGATTTAAGCCCGAACCTTGTTTTCCAAAATTGAT